GCAGGCATCAGACTTAGTGGAGTGGGAAGTGACCGCATGAGTCATCATCAGTACGTTAGTTACTGTCCATCCAAATCCTATGGAGCCTTAATTTAAAAGAAAAATGGAACACATGCAAAAATTTTAACTTTGCAGGAAAAAATGTGCTAGAGAAAATATGTCTTGTGTAAGGTAGTTTCTTTCAATTTAGTAATTAAAATCTGGTAATACCGGAAGGAAACATACTAACATTTTTTATGTCTTCACTTGACAGTTTTAATAGATAAAGACCAGAGTCCAAAGTGGAGACCAGCTGATCTAAAAGAAGTTACTGATGAAGATTTGAATAATTACTTTAAGTCTCTGGGAAGTAACGATTTGAAATTCTAAGGTGACTAGATTTTTAAGGTATTATTTTGCAGCACATGTTGGCAAACTATAGTACATGGGCCAGATCCGGCCTGCTGCCTGTTGCTGAGTTTTCCACAAGCTAAGAATGTTTTCTGCATTTTTAAATGGCTGAGGAAAAATAAATCAACTACTAATATGTCATGACATGTGAAAGTTACATGCAATTTCATATCTGTGCTCATAAGTAAATATTGACTGGCGTGTCACTGCACTGGGCTGTTAACCTGTTGTCTGCGGCTGCTTTGAGTAGTGCAACAGACACCTTAAGTCCTACAAAGCCTAAAATACTTTCTGATCCTTTTCAGAAAATGTTTGCCAGCCCGTTTTATAAAAATGGGAAAATTAGAAGGTCTTAATATTTAATTGAAATGAGAACCTTATGTTTTGGTTTTGGGTAGTAGTTCTTATGTTGATTAAATAAACATATGTATAATTATTAACCCTGAAATTTTTTGGCTATTTTGTTAATGCTTCAGAGAATTTTCTGGATATATAAACCTGTTTTAAAGTAACTATGTTACTATAGAAGTGTTCCTTTTATAATATTAGAAATCTCTGGCAAAGCAAAAAGGTTTTTATGAGGTTGTCTCTGGTATTATTAACTCAGCTTTTGTCTTCCCTCAAGTTAACCAGAATCCTTCCCTATGGTGAAAGTGATGGGTTGTTTTGTAGGATTTGTTAGTCTGAAAGAATGAGGAATTAGGAAACTCCAATCTCTAAAATAGAGAACATTGCTTTTTACAATTTACATTAAACTTGGGCGTGATAAGTTATTTGCTGTTACATAGTATAAATCAGGAGGGGAAAAAAAAAAAAGGACTTTTTGTTCAGAATAGAAATACATTCCACAACTGTTGACAAAATAAGTTTTTCTTAAGGTACACAAGAAACTGCAGGGTGTTCCAGACTTGAGACATTAAAGTCAGGGTAAGAATAATCTTTAAAGGTCGGTTTATCATTTTTTTTGTGACTTAGAGTTTTCCCTTCATCCCAAACCATTCAGAAACTAAGAGAACTTCTGGTTTTTAAGAACAGAAAGTGGCAGAACTGAAAAAGACGTCAGAGGTCATATCCTGCACCCTTCTTATAGGTGAGGGAACTGCAATCTGGGAGTTGCTTTAAATTTTCTAAATATTTAACATGAAGCATTCCCCCCGCCCCCAACGCCAAAAGTCACAAACAGATTTAGAGTACAGATGGCATGGTAGTGGACATGTTTACATTAATATTCTTAAAGCTCTTAAATTGGACCTGAATGATCCAAGAGATTATTTCTGTCAGTGGAGTTTTATTCACTTCGTGTTCATTAGAAATGCAGAAAATGTTAAGCTCTTTATATCGAAAAACTTGACAGTACACAATATTGAAAGGCATTTGCTTTAATCAGAACTCAGCTAGTTCATGGCAACTAGACTTTTATTGTATGGTTAGAAAAAAATGCTTTCACAAAAATATTTGGAAAAATACCATTTCATAGCTAAGTCTTACAGGGAGGAGAATTAACAAAACTTGAGTTTTGCAAAGTAATATAGAGGGAGTACATCTGAGCTTGTGCCCACTGCTCCAAGGCAGGCATGTCCTGTCGGGCCCCACAAATACAGGATGAGGGCATTACGATGAAGCAAACAATATATATTTGTTGGAACTTTGTTTTTAACTCACTATTCCTTGACAGTATTGATCATATGTCTCTAACTTTGATTTCTAAAGCCATAGAATACAAAAGTACAGTTCCCTCTTCTCATAAAATGCCGGTGATATTAAGTGGGATAGGAGTGTCAGGCTAGCTCCTTCATTCAATGTGTCTGTTTTTAATACTAATAAGGCAGTTTGACACAAACTATTCCTATGGAACTAAGATCAGTTTTATCCCCTTAAATTGTGCTTTGAGTGCTAGTGACCTCGGGTAGTTTGCAAAGAACAGATAAGCGAGACAGATAAACAGAGTCCTCTCGGATCAGACGCTGGCAGCTGAAAGGGAACAACACAAGAGCCTGTCACCTGGGCAGGGGGACAGTGAAGCACTCTTGCGGGTCTCCGTGAGGGACCGGCACACTTCCTCTGGTCACCTACTGCCCTTGCAGTTGCCATCCAAGGTACCTGGTTACACTGGGCTCGTCTGCCCCTATCCTGGATGTTCTGAAGGGAAAAGATGCAGTGGTTGGGCACGTGCCAGTGTGGTAAAGAAAGGAACTTGCTACTGTGTCCCTTCCCTCAGCGAGAACACTGGAGTCTTGTTTTTGCCGTGTGTCTTCTGACAGAGCCTGATGTGAGTGCTGTTTCGTGGGCCCTCATTTTCCCGGTTTCCTTTCTTTTATAATTTGGCCACTATTCTTTGATTTGTGTTTGTGATGTCTAAGTCGGAACAAATGTTTCCCTTTCCAGTAGCTAACAATTCTCTCAGTCTTCTGTTTTACATGTTCCTTCCTTATCACATAGATCCTCCATTCTTTTACTGTTCATGAAAGTTCAAAATGAAGTAGATCCAGTATTTAGACACGAAGGTATGAAAGAAGTTATTCTATCAAAGAGGTTCTCATCCGTTCTTGTCATCAAGACCAAACTGTGTCTTGATGATTATCGGATGCAGCACTAATCTGTTTACCCGGTTCTTCTGCCTGCCCCTAGTTTGGTGTCTTGACTAACTCACTGATGATGCAAGCCTCGTGATTCCTTATCCATAGTTTGACATAACAGAGCATATATTTCCAAGATAATTCTATGTTGCAAGATCTATACTCTGTTAAAATGAGTCAGGAGACGGGGCGCCTGGGTGGCTCAGTGGGTTAAAGCCTCTGCCTTTGGCTCAGGTCATGATCCCAGGGTCCTGGGATCGAGCCCCACATCGGGCTCTCTGCTCTGCAGGGAGCCTGCTTCCCTCTCTCTATCTGCCTTCCTCTCTGCCTGCTTGTGATCTCTGTCAAATAAATAAAATCTTTTTAAAAAAAAGTCAGTAGTGAGGTGTTGGTACTTGGTGACAAAACCGTACTGCTATTGTGTCAGAGTGGCAACAGAGAATTCTTGCTAGATGTGGACCAGGCAGGCATCCCTGCTACACACCTGGGACATAGGGGCCCAGGCACAGGAAGAAGCTGAGGTTAAAATATTTATAAGAAAACTCAACAGTCTACATAGTACGTGTGCTGAAAAATTTTGTGTGGCTATGGCTTTGTGTTCTCACCCTAATACTGTATCTTTTAAATAGTAAATGACTTTGCAGCAAAAGTGGTCTGTTGTGAGATATAAAATGAATGAAAAATGGCAACATCTAGGCTTTTGTCTGAGTCATTTGTATACTCAAAAACCTAAATTTTTTTCACAAGCTCGAAAGATATTTTGCATTTTCAGAAAACTTTTGTTCCTTAGCTTTCGGACTTCAGATCTTTGTATTAACAAGGGTTGTGGTTTTTCTACTGTGTAAGTTTCTAGATTGCAAGTACAACTGTACAGTTCAAATCCTGGGAGTAGGTGAAATGAAAGTTGAAGGACCAGGTGTCCTTTGGTAACTAAAAGATGGCACATGACTCACTTCAAAGTACTCCCTTTGTCCACACAACAGGGAGAATTCATTCTTTGTGGGTTTCAAAGGATAGTTAAAATTAGAGGTAGCATTTCTGCTTGCTTACAAGGCCAAATACATATTTATCTCATTAAAAAGGTCACAGTCTTTTTCTGCCTTCCTTTAGCTGTCAGTGACAAGGGTCTGTTGAATCTTAGTAAAAGAATTTAATGCACACAGACTTAAGTAATTCCCTTTCCAACTAAACTCAGTGTGTAACAAATCTGGATGAAAAGACCATTCTAGAGACTGAGTCCCAGTTTTTCTGCAGGCTATGTTTTCTTAGTATCTTCTTCCACTCCCAGATCTGTTCCATTGATTTTAAACAGTACTTAATTCTTGGGAAGAAAAAAATTCCCCAAAAAGTTAGCCAAATTTAAGAAAATAGTATATGTCTGGAAATGCCTTATGGGCATCGTTACCATAAAAAAAAAAAAATACATGAGTACTCTCTTCCAAGGAGTGTTTGATCTTCTGTTTAGTCTCATGCATAGACTGGTCCCACAGTAATCTCAATGGGACTTGCCCCATTAGTCAATAATAAAGATGGGAAGGAGTGCCCATTACACCAACTCTCTACATCTTTGAGACAGTAAAACTTCATATATCTGCAGCACTGAGAACAGGCTCTGCTTTCTACCTTGAGTAGGACTCCCGTTATTTTAATATTTTGGTGTTTGTAAAAATTCTTGTTTTGTTATATCACTGGGCTGCTTAATTCAATGCCATAAACATTGTCATGACTTCTGTAAATTGTATCCTGTTCAGGTTGTGTGAAGTCTTGAGTTCTATAATAACAGCTATGGTTAGTTAAGGACCTGAGGTTGAAGGTGGTTAAGGACAGGTTTCAAGGTGGACTTCTACAGGGGGTGCTTTCTACTGTAGGGATCCTTGACATAAATGGCTTTGACAAAGACCCGCTAGTATTTACCATGGCTTAAGTGCAAGTTCTTTGCCAAGACATCTGAAAAATCCTTTTCATAACTTGTTTGTGTGTGTAAATTAACAAATAGTTATTTTAAAAGGAGCGTCTTTAAAATAACCATTTGATTTCTTTGGTGCTACTACTAGTGCTCAGGAAGGAAGTGGTACGGCACACAGCTGACTACTGTGGTGCGGGCCCTGTGCTTAGCCCTTTAAAATGACTCCAACCCAAGACCAAGCAGCAAGAATTTGCTGTTAACATAAAAGTGTTTATCACGTGTCATGTTAGGTACTCCTGTATACTCTTGATACTATCATGGACTTTTTTTTCCTCCATCCTGATGGAGTGATTTGTATTTATTCACACCAGTTTTTGCTATTATTTCATGTATTTAAACTAGCACCAACTTCCTCCACAATTCTAGAAAGTTATCCTCAGCGTCCTACGGCGTCAGGGCCCCTCACTCTCAATGTACGGGATGTCCTCGTACTTCATGTTGTTGCCCGCCCACTGCTGCAGGGCGTCACTGAGGATTTCCTGCGACAGGCGGTGTGCAAACTCGAAGACCACAGTTTCAGGCCCTCGTGGTTCCTTCACTTCCTCGTCAGCATTAACTGGAGCGGGCATCCTCGGTAGAAATCGCTCTTCAGGCATAAAGCTTTCTTCACTTGCATGTTGCTTCTCACTCTCAAATGTGGTCGGAAATGGGAAAGTTTGCTTTGATTTCATGCAGCCCATGTTATTTAGAGCGCTGAGTGAAGAGAAGCAGTAGCGAAGACTACTTCAGCAGCATCTCTGGAAAACACTGGGCTTGTCCACGTGAAACTGACCAGAGCTTTTCCTTTCCAGGCACTTCAGAAATCAGTGTTTGTTCTTGCCAGTCTTCACCTGTAGTGTTTATCTGTGAAAAGAAAAGTTTCATTTTGAAGCTACCAATTGCAAAATACTGTGTAATTAGGTAGCATGTAGAGACTGTCCCTTTACCACTTTGGCCACTTGTGAGGTAAGAATAGCTTTATCTTATCAATAGAAAGAAAACTCAGTAAAGTTGGCAATTTACAAAATAGGAAAATATTTTTTCAAGGTCTGGAAAATTTTATAAATCTAAAAGTTTAACTTTTGCTAGCCTAGATTTATTTATGTATACCAGGGTTCAGCAAACTAGCCTTTGGCTCAAATACTAGCTGCCTGTTTTTCTAAATTGAGTTTATTAGAACACAGCCATGCTGTTTGTATGTTGGCTCTGGCTAATTTCATGCTGCGTTGCAGAGATGAGTGGTTTCGATGGAGACCATGTGTCCTGAAATTCCTGAAATAATCACTATCTGGCCCTTTATAGAAAATGTTTGCCGCCTCTGATCTGTCCTGTTGAAGGAAACAAGCATATAAAACATTTGCTCCTGCCTCAAACCTCGTGAGCCTACACGTTCTTGGGCTGTTATAAGAGTCTGGCTCTGTCCCCTGGTTAGATGTTTACAACTAAAGAGACAGAATAACAGCCTTGAGGCAACACAAGTTAGATGTGGCAAAGCCACCTCTAGATGTTCCCTATGAAACTACAGGAAAAGTTCAGATTAAAGTAGGTTAAAGGTTTCCTCCCTAAAATGTCTCACTCTTGTTTGATGTCTGGCCAGAAAGTAGGCTGCAGGGTTCATGATGTGCTTCGCAACTGGCTGCTGTTACTGAATGAACATCTCTTAACATAGGACCTCCGGGTAGCTAAGTACAAAGCAACTTCGCTGGAGGGAGTCTAGCCATGAGAAAGCACAGGCAAAGTCTCTGCAACACTATGGACCAAAACGACGGAGCTCTGGAAAAGTTGATAAAATCAAACTCAGTTGACTTACTTCTGAAACAAAACTACTGATCTAAAGGACATTATTTTTATTAAACAATGTCTGCTTTTAGTAAATATACACGTAATAAGGTATAGAACTAAATATATAAAAGGTAGCACAAAGGTCAACAGATCATGGGGTGGAGAGATTTTTTTTTTTTTTCCTTTTGAGTATTTCTTGAATTAATCTCTTGACTGTATTACTAATGATTGGAAAATTGTTGCTTTAATATAGATCCTAAATTTGGAAGAAAAAAAAAAGATTTAAATGCATGGTAGTTTTTAAGTCGTTTATAATAAGTCCAGAAAAGGGGACTTTTGCTATTTGACAATATTTAGATTTCTATAAAATCTACCCAAGTTCTCCCATACGACTACCCGTTATAAGGACATATGGTTGGGAAGTGGAAGAAATATAGTCCTCTCCTTTTAATTACCCTTAGTTTCATATACCTTGCCAAAGATGTATTTCAAAAATGGAGCAAGAGATGTGTCTAATGCTTGGTTTACTAGACAACTCCTTTAAGACAGGAACTGTCCTGATTGTACATCACCAAGGTATAATGGCTTACACAGTATCTGTTTTGTACTATGAGGAATGGTTAAGAGAATTGTACATAGTTAACCTGAAAATGATTATTCAGTAAATGTCTAATAAAAGGCAGTGAGTAAGCCAGCTGGTTGGCTCAGTCATTTAAAGTCTCCTTTCGGCTCAGGTCATGATCCCAGAGGCCTAGGATCAAATCCCACATGGGGCTACCTGCTTTGTGGGGAGGCTGCTTCTCCCTCTGCCCCTCCACGCACTTTTTTTTTCTCTCTCAAAATCTTTTTTTTTTTTTTTTAAACAATGAGTAGAGTCAACATGATATTCTGTTTTCTAGGATCTTTGGTTTTGCAAAAGCAGCTTTCAAAGTAGTACCAGATTTACCCTCACCAAAATGACTTTAAACCTGGACAAAATATATCTGAACAACAGCAGAGGACTGTGATCCTCAAGAGAAGGGAAACACAGAATGTTAAACTCCACAGTTCAGCATCCTGCCTGGAAACATCTTTGAGCATTATCTCAGGGAGGTTGGGCTCGAGCAGAGTGGCAGTCCTGCTGAGTTGAAGAGGTTGGAATCCTGAAGGTAGATGAAATTTCAAGAGACGAGGGAGCTGTGGGGAGAGGCAGAAATGGGGTCTTTCATTTGATGGGGTCTCTTCAAGATCACCTGTCTGAGGACTTAATACGTGCACATACAGGAAGAGGATTTGCAAGATTTATCATACGTCAGTGCTGTAGAACCTCGGTGGAGAAACCTCACAGAAGCCTTAGGAGGCAGGTGTGAATCCTAGAGCAGGGTTGACAAACTTTCTTAAAGGGCTAGGTAGCACAGAATTTAGGTTTGTAAGCCGTATGGTCTATATCACAACTCTGCAGTTCTGCTGTTGTAGTGCAGAAGTAGCCATACAGGGGTGCCTGGATGGTCAGTCAGTTAAGTGTCTGACTCTTGATTTCAGCTAAGATCATGATCTCAGGGTTGTGAGGTCAAGCCCTTGTTTGGGCTCTGCATGACATAGAGCCTGCTTAAGAGATTCTTTCTTCTTCTGCCTTTCTCCCAATTTGCGCATACACACTCACTTTCCAAAACAAAACAAAACCCTAGACAATATGTAAACAAGTAGGCAGTGTCTGTGTTCCAATAAAACCTCACAAAAACAGGCTAGCTAGCCATAGGCCATATTGGACTAAGTTCAAACAAAGAATAAAACAATACCATTTAAAGGAAGATGACATAATCCAGACTCCTATCCATAATGTCCATCCTAGAATAAAAAACTACTTGGTATGCAAAGCAGGAAAATGCCCCATGTCCAAGAAAAAAGTTACTAGAAATAGACCCCAAAATGACCCATCATTTGGTAGTTAACTAAATAGAACTATAGAGCTGCTTATGTTCAAGGACATAAAGGAAAAATGATCATAAAGACTGAACAAGTAGAGAATCTCAGCAATGGAAAGCGTAAAGAAAAAAGTAAACTCAAGAACTAAAATGAAACTCATTTGTATGAGCTATTGAATACTTAAGGATTAATGAATATACATCTATAGATCTGTCCAATCTGAAAAATGGGGAAAAGATAAAGTATGTCTTAAGAACAGTAAGGATTTAGACACATTGAACCCAGAGAACAACGGGAAATGAAGAATATACAAAGAAAGAAGAAAATGGGACAATTAGAAAACAGTAAAGTGACTGACTTAAGTCTTTACATATCAAAAATTTAGAAGGAAATGGACTAAAAATTTCAGCTTAAAGGCAAGCTACTTAAAAAGTAAAATTCAAGCCACACAAACATAGTCAACAGATCTTTGACAAAGGAGCAAAGGTGATACAGTGGAACAAAGAGTCTTTTTAACATGTGCTGAAACAGCTGTGTAGCCTCATGTTAAAAAAACCTAGACACAAACCTATACCCTTCACAAAAATGAACGCGAAATGGATCAGACCTAAGTGTAAAACATGAAACTATAAGACTCCTAGAAGATAGCATTTAGGAGTTAAATCTAGATAAATCTAGAGGACCTTGCACTTGGCAATCACCTTTGAGATAACAATACCAAAAGGCATAATCCATGAAATAATTGAGAATTGTTTAAAAACTTGGCTTCACAGAAGACACTGTTAAAAACTTTGTCTTCATCATGTTAAAAACTTTGGCTTCATGGAAGACACTGTCAAGACAACAAAAAGCTACAGACTGAGAGAAGATATTTACAAATTACCTACAACGTACAAAGAACTCTTAAAACTTAACCTGATTTAAAAATGGGCAACAGATTTAAACAGATGCCTCACCAAAGAAGACATGCAGATGTCAAATAAACATATGAAAAGATATTCAACATTCTACCTTAGGGAACAAATTAAAACACTGAGATACTATTATAACTTGTGGAAACAGTGAAAATTCAAACACTGATGACATCAAATACAAGGATGGGGAACAACAGGAACTCATTCATTGCTGGGGAGAATGCAAAATAGTACAGCCACTTTGGAAGTAAGAGTGGAGTTTCTTACCAAACTAAACCTAATCTTACCATATGAACCAGTAGTCACACTCCTTGTTATTTACTCAAATGAATTGAAAAATTGTGTCCACACCAAAGTCAACATATGGATGTTTATAGTAGTTTTGTTCTTAATTGCCAAAAGTTGGAAGCATCCAAAATGTCCTTCAGGTGAATGGATAAACAGGGGTATATCCAGGCAATGGAATATTATTAGGGGCTAAAAAGAAGTGAGTTAATAAGCCATGGAAAGGAAAGGAGGAAGCTTAAGTGCTTATTACTAAGTTAAGCCAATCTTTCCAACTCTCTGATATTTTGGAAAGGGTAAAACAAAGCAATAGTAAAAAGTCCACTGGTGGTTGCCAGGGGTGAGAGAGGAGGGAGGGTTGAATAGGTGAAACACAGAGCATTTGTAGGGCAGTGGACTACTCCATATGATACTACAACGGTGGATACCTACCATTATACATTTGTCAAAATCCATAGAAAGTATAACAAAGAGTGAATCTTAATGTAACTATGGACTTGGAGTGATGGCATGTTAATGTAACAAATGTACCGTTCTGGAGTGTGATATTGATAGTAGGTGAGGCTATATGTGTTGAGGGTGGGGATGCAGGGGCTCTCTATTGCCTGCTCAATTTTGCTGTGACCCTAAAACTGCTCTAAAAAATAAGGTCTTTTAAAAATCCAACTATATATGTTACCTGTAAGAGAGGTCCTTTTATAAAGGTTGCAAGCAAGGGGGTTAGAACGGATACACCTGGCAAATAGGGAAGCATAAAAAATACTACTGACATTCAGACAAAGTAGACTTCAAGACCAGGGGGATTACCAGATATACAGAGGCATATTGTATGTGTCAATGAGGAAGACATGACAGTCATAAATGTATATGTAACTATTAACAGAGTTTGAAAGTAGAGAACTCAAGGGAGAAATGAACATTGCTCTCAGTAACTGATAGACTATCCAAAGGAAAAAACAAGGAATTCAAGTTTTGAAC